TGGCCATTGTAGCAATTTGAGAGAGTGAACCAGTAGATGGAAGATCTTTTTCTTAAAAAGAAAAAAAAAATACAGTTATAGGTAGGTAGAAAGAGAGGGAAGAGAGAGAGGTCTTCCACCCACTGGTTCACTCCCTAAATGGCCACAACGGCCAGATCTGAACCAATATGGAGCCAGGAGCTTCTTCCAGGTCTCCCACGTGGGTGCAGGAGCCCAAGGATTGGGTCATCCTTCACTGCTTTCCCAGGCACATTAGCAGGGAGCTGGATTGGTAGTGGAGCACCTGAGACTCGAACTGGTGCCCATATGGGATGCTGGTGTTGCAGGCCAAGGCTTTAACCTGCTGCATCACAGTGCCAGCCCCTCTATCACTAACTGTGCTTTTCAAGTAAATAAAATAAATCTTAAAAAACAAAACTACACACACCCATGTTAAAAGCAAACAAGATCTATAATACACTTAATGTCGGCGCCTATTTCCCCGTCTATCAAATTGTAATTATCTAAGACATCATCACTGGGGATGGTGGCAAAGAAGTACAAAGGACTCTGCTACTTTTACAACATACTGTGAATCTACAATTTTAAAATAAAAGAATGAAAACGAACACTGAGTCAGACTAATTGAACTGTATTTGGCCAAAGAACCACCATGCCTGACCTAGATTAAGTGAGACTCAGAAGATAAGAAAGGTCTGTTTCTATCAATTGGGTATGTGATGCTATTAAAGAATTACCGTTTGGGATCCAGCGCTCTGGTGTAGCAGGTAAAGCCACTGCCTACAGTGCCGGCATCCCATATGGGCGCTGTTTTCAAGTCCTGACTACTCCACTTCCAATCCAGCTCTCTGCTATCGCCTGGGAAAGCAGAAAATGGCCCAAGACCTTGGGCTCCTGCACCCATGTGGGAGACCTGGAAGAAGCTCCTGACTCCTGGCTTCAAATTGGTGCAGCTCCAGCTGTTGCGGCCAATTGGGGAGTGAACCAGCAGATGGAAGACCTCTCTCTCTGCCTCTCCTTCTGTGTAACTCTTTCAAATAAATAATAAATAAATCTTAAAAAAAAAAATTACTGTTTGGGGCTGGTGTGGTGGGGTAGTGGGTAAAGGCACTGCCTGCAATGCTGGAATCCCACATGGCACTGATTCATGTCCCTGCGGCTCCACACCTGATCAAGCTCCCTGCTAATGGCCTGGGAAAAGCAGCAGAGGATGGCTCAAGTGCTTGGGCCCCTGTCACCCATGTGGAAATCCTGGATGAAGCTCCTGGCTTCAGCCTGGCCGAGGTCTGGCCGTTGTGGCCATCTGGGGAGTAAGCCAGTGGACAGAAAATCTCTCTTGTTCTCCCTCTCTCTTTTTAACTTTTTAAAAATAAGTAAATAGGGGCCAGCACTGTGGTGTAGTGGGTATAGCCGCCATCTGCAGTGCTGCATCCCATATGGGCGCTGGTTCGAGTCCTGGCTGCTCCACTTCCAATCCAGCTCTCTGCTGTGGCCTGGGAAAGCAGTGGAAGACAGCCCAAGTCCTTGGGCCCCTGCACCCACATGGGAGACCTAGAAGAAGCTAATGGCTCCTCGCTTCAGAATGGCAAAGCTCCAGCCATTGCGGTCAGTTGAGAGTGAATCAGTGGATGGAAGACCTCTCTCTCTCTGCCTTTCCTTCTCTGTGTATCTCTGACTTTCAAATAAATAAATCTTTTTAAAAAATAAATATTTAAAAGAAAAGAATTACTGTTCATTTGTTTGGGGTGGCAACGGTGCTGTGGCTGTTTTCAAAAGATTTCTTCTTTTAGAAATATGTACTAAGATATTTACCAATAGACTCTATGAAACCAGAGATTTCCTTCAAACACAGTACAGTGTATAGAAGAAATAAGACACAATGAAAATTGCTGAAGTTGGTGATAAGTATACTGAAGGTGGAGAACTTGCAGGAATTAAGGAAAATAATTACAGTTTTCCAGGCCAGCGCTGTGGCATAGCAGGTTAAAGCTGCCACTTGTAACACCAGCATCCCACATAGATGCCGGTTCAAGTCCTGACTGCTCCACTTCCATCCAGCTCCCTGTTAATGTGCCTGGGAAAGCAACGGAAGATGGCCCAAGTACTTGGGCCCCTGCATCCATGTGAGAGACCCAGATGAAGCTTCTGGCTCCTGCCTTCACCCAGGCCCAGCTCCAGCTGTTGCAGCCATTTGGGGAGTGAACCAGATGGAAGATTCTCTCTGCCTCTGTATCTCCTTCTCTGTAACTCTTTCAAATAAATAAATAAACCTTTAAAAAATATTACAGTTTTCCCTGTTGCATGTCTGAAATTTTCCATAATAGACCATTTAAAAGGGAGGGGACAGCCTGTTCCTGCCTCCACCTTCCCAGAAGACTTCACAGATACAAAAGTAACTGTGGAGCACAAGACAGGGCCAGAGTCAGGGGCTGGGGAGGGGATGGGGGTGCAAAGGGAATAGAGTAACTGTAAGACCAGGGGCAGTGGGATGGGCCTTACCCGATTGCGCGGCAGGGCCCAACCACACACAGCACACTCCTGGGCAAGCAAGCGGCGCAGGAAGGCCCGGTCTTGGCTTTGCCTCACAGCTTCCACCACGTCCCCCAGCTCATAGTTCCTGGGAGTCTCCTGCAGCAGCGCCAGCGCCAGCTCTGCTCGGCCCCAGCTGGGGAGTGCGTAGACTGCCAGAAGCCGTCTGACCAGACTCTGCAATGTGGTTCAGGTGGAGAGAGAAGTGGCTGTCAGACCACAGGGGCCTTTCCTCTTGCCCCTCTAGGTGGGTTCTTGGGCTCCACATCTCCCTTCAGCACCTGCTTGTCCGGCCCATCCCAAGAGGGGGTAGACTCAGGGCCAGTGTCCCAGAGGCGCTGGTGGAAGGGCTCCAGGCGCTGGCGCTGCAGCTCAGTAAGGGCCCGGGTCACGTCACCCCCATGCTGGAACAACGCCTGCAGAGACCCCTCCTCAGGCCTAAAGCCCAGGGTCTGGAGTTCCTTCACCTGTAAGTTGAGAGCAGAGAGAGTGAAGAAGGAAAAGCAGGCAAGGGATTGTGTGAGTGCCTAAGACCCTCAAGCCTGTCCCACCTCCAGCACCGCTGTACCTTCCTCCTCCGGGCCCTCACACACTCCTCCACAGCCTCATCAAGGTTGCCATGACGCTCCAGCCAGGCTTTCCGGGCCTCCTGACAGGAAAAGACACCCAGCCCAGGGTCCTTCTGCCCAGCTAGTTCAGCCACCATCTCCAGCACGTAAGGCAGCTCTGAGCGCAGCCACTGCAGGGGCACCTCGGTGCCTGAGTACTGCAGAGCCGAGAAGACCTCCTCTGGACAGGCACCTGCAGCTTCCCCTTCCTAAAGCACAGAAGGCTCATTAGGAGGGGCAAACGGCTTCCGTACCTTCAGCCTGCTCCAAATGCCAACAGCTGAGCGCAGATGTCCTGATCACGTGACCATGGTAACTGCCATGTGAGACGTGCTCAGTAAGAGTCAGCTGCTGCTAACAGTAAGTTTATAAGGACTCATGTTACTGAAATGCAGTATCTCCATGCCCCTCCCCTCCCCAGCTGAGCCCCACCTCCTCCCGGGCCCCATGCTCACCCGGATCATGACCACCAGCTGGAGACCTTCCTCCCGCATCTTGTCTTGGCGCTGCTTCTCAGGGTCTCCACAGGAGTTGGGCAGGGAGGCACTGAGGCACTGCAGGGGTCGAGGCTTGGGGAGTCCTTTTTCCAAAGAGGAGGCACTGGGCCGGGGGGCATGCTGCTCTGGGCCGGGGCTGCTGGTCCGGTTGCACATAGCACACACCCAGCCAGGGCCCGAGTTGCCGAAGGTACAGTGAATGCAGTACCAGACATGAGTCTGGGCAGAGGAGAGCAAAGTATCCCCCTGCTGGGAAGGTGGAGAGAATGACCCCATGGTCTGAGTGAAGGAGGTTCACAAAGGAGATACCGGGACCTGGGGTGACTGAAGGAAGACAGGGCACGGGCAAGGAGACAAAGGTCTGAGCTGGAAAGGTCAGGAACAGGTTACCTGAAGCGGCTGTGAGGAAAAGCCAGGATCCTGGGAATCCACCACCAAGCTGGGAGGCTGGGCCAGCCGAGGTCGCTCACACATGGCACATAACACAGCTGCTGCCTCATTCTCAAAGGTACAGCTCTGGCAGGCCCACCGACCTCGTGTAAGTTCAGGTTCTTGGCCCCCAGTATCTTGGGGGCCCTCAATCTCCAGCCTTGATTCCTTACAGCCTCGGGGCCAACCACAGGCCACGCAGAGCATTGCCCAAGGCTCATTTAGCCTGGTACAGGCAGCACAGTGCCAGGGCTGATGGGCATTTGCAGGATCAAGGGAAGGAGAGCTGTCTCTCAGGGCCACCAGGGAATTTGGCTGGGGCAGCAGTGCAGCTGAGGCAGGTAAACTGTAATAGAAAAGCAGACGTGGCCTGCTGGGCTGGTTCTGGTGCCAGGGTCCCTCTGCCCTGGGCATTCCCCACTTCCTGGGTATCATCACATGGCTCTGGCCTTTGTATGTGCTGTTTTCTTTGTCTGGATACTATCATACTCATGTCCTGTTCAACATCTAAATGACAACTTACAGCTCACTTTTTCCTGGTCAATCCCCAGAACATACAGACTGATCCATAGTAAGTGTTTAAAATACTGTCAGGGGCCGGGGCTGTGGCAGAGTAAAAGCCCTGGCCTGCGGCACCAGCATCCCACATGGGCGCTGGTTTGAGTCTTGGATGCTCCACTTCTGATCTGGCTCCCTGCTAATGTGCCAGGAAAAGTGGCAGAAGATGGCCCAAGCACTTGGGCCACAAGGGAGACCCAGAAGAAGCTCCTGGCTCCCGGTTCAGCCTGGCCCAGCCTCAGCTGTTGTGGCCATTTGGGGAGTGAACCAGCCAATGTAAGACCTTTCTCTCTTTCACTCTGTCTTTCAAATAAATAAAATAAATGTTTTAAAAAATAAAATACTGCCAAATGCATGAAATGATCCTCAGACCAGAAAGCATCCACCCACTACTTACTCACACACCATAGTAACGTGTCTTATTGTGACTGCTACTTGTCTGATTTCTCTTTGATGGCTGTGACTGGCTGCTTGCCCTATATTAAATGGTCTTAGCAAAGAACCTGGCACAGTAGATGCTCAAGTAATTTCACGTTCTCTAAATTTCACTCCCTCAGAGAAGAGAAGTCCTCTCACCTGGGGCTCAGGTGGGTGGTCTGGCGTAGGTGATGGGCACGGGATGGGTGTCCATGGAACAGGCGGTCACAGGCTGCACACAAGACCTGTTTACAGGCTGGGCAGCTCAGTGTGCCTGGGGCAGAACCACAGAGGAAGCAGGAACAAGGAGTGGAGCCTAGAAACAGGAAAGAAAAAGTTATACCTCAATGTGCTGAGGATGAGGGCAATCACAAAACTACTCAGCACACCTGGACCCAAGGGAACCTGTTTTTATTGTTTTAAACACACAAAGGAAGATAAACCAGAAGGCAGAGGAGGGCCCCCAATTTCCATCAATCTAGTCTGCTACAAGCAGCCCCTCGCAAGAGAAGATGAATAGTACCTGGGGCAGACGGTGTGGTGAGGGGGCCAGGGGCAATCTCTCTCAGCAGGGGGCCGAACTCAGAAAGCTGCAGCATCTGAGGAAGAAAGGGCACGAGATAGGCAAGAAGTCTGGGGACAGACACGGAGCCCACAGTTCCTGCCACCTTTGGTCAGCAGCCCCTCTTCATGCCTTTCTTACATCATCTTCGGCTTTGCCTTTCAGCAGCTGTTCCAGTGCCTGCTGCCTGGGATGAGCATTCTGCAAACAAGATGAAAAGAGCTCCCATCCAGAGCTGTAGAACAAGACCCTCCCTCTAAGCCCTGGCCCCCCAACATTCCCAGGGACAACAACAGTACCAGAAGATTCTAGCATGGGGGCCCTCCCACAGGCTTCAGTGGGGCTGGGCTCTTCCAGCCCCGGTGCTTAAGGCCTTAGAGTCGACCAACGCCTCACCTGCAACCACAGGCTGAGCTCTGTCCGAAGCAGCAGGACTTCCAGTGTGACTGCAGCAACCTGGTTCTCATCCGGCTCCTCCTGCTCTTCGGGGAAGCTCAACCCATCTGGCTGCTCCTCCGTGTAGCCATACAACCGTAGCACATCCCGGCCCCCCTGCCACACATTGACAACCGGTCACCGCCCAGCCGCCGCCCCCCTTTGCACAGGCGCTGGCCTTCTCCCCATTCAGCATAGCCTGGGGGCTCTTACAGGTCAACCCCCCAGCCCAAGTCCAGTTCCCCTTCTTCCACAAGACCCAGGGGTTTCACCTGCACAGCATCCACCGTGCTGCGAAAGACAGGGTTATTAAACTTGACCCCGCGCCAGTAACGGGGCCGCTGAGGGCTGAGGAGGTTGCGGCCATATTTCTCCAGGATGTTCAGGGCCGTAGACAGAGTGCTGAGGTAGTTTCGGGGCTGTGCACAATTAGAGAGCAGACGTGTGAGCTCAACTCGGGCCTCAGGCCCTATGTCCCCCCCTCCCAGCCCGGCCGGGCTCACCTCCCCATGAGCGTTGCAGCGGATCAGGCGTGCGGCGTCCAGCTGCAGGTAGCGGGCGGCTGGAGGCAAAGAGGTGGCCAACAGCGGCCGGAGTTGCTCCAGGGAAAACATCTGCCCGGAATCCCTCCTCAGAGCGCTCGCCAGCTCTTCACGGGCCGCCAGGAAGGCTCGCTCCTCTTCCTTCCCCGGCATCCTGAGAGAGGAGTCAGCCCCAGCCTCGCCGCCCGCCAGGACCCGGTGCGGGCCGGGGGCGGCCCGAGCGCCACCCCTCCCGCCTGGTGTTCGGCTTTGCGGCCTGACCCTGTACGCGCAGTCGCCCCGGTCACTCAGGCCACTGTCCCCCTCCGGCTCACGGCCCAGCGCCAGGGTTAGCGGGGAACAGGAAGTACTGGGAGGTGGGCGGGACTGCAACGCAGTTTCAGAGGAAGGGGAGGGTCAGGAAATCGGGGGCGGGGCCTAGAGGGCAGGCAAGGTTCCAGCCAATGAAGAGGTAGATGGCTCTTGACTCCTCCCCCAGAGCGTCCCAGCATTTTGCTCTAATAACAGGATTCTTCCCCGCCTTTCCCCAGATTGGTGCCTCCCCTTCCGGGCAGCTCCGAGCGTGGGATTATCCCGTTCGGCTCCGAGCCTTCCTCTCCCTCTCTCTGGGCCATTCTGCTATGCTCCCACCGGCGACGTTCCGTCCTGCCGGGAACTCGACTCTGGCCGGCTCCAGCCCAGCCGAATAGAGTCCCGCCCTTTGTCCCGGCCGTCCTGGAGCGGGGCGCCCTCGGGGACTGTCCCCGCGCGGGCTGCCGTACACGTCCTGCTAACCCTTCTCTGTCTTAGGCTCTTTATATCGCTCGGGCCCCTTTCTGTGCGCTCCTCGCGGCCGAGCCTTCTCTCTGGATAGCCCCTTCCCCATTTTCCCGCCCTCGAAGTCCAGCCCTGGACTTCCCCCGGACGGGCTGGGCCCGCACTATAGTCCCGCCCCCTGTTCCCGTCTCCGCGGTCCCACCCCCCCTAGTCCCTCCCTCGGACAGCCCCCGGGTCTGTGACCCAGCCAGCACCGCCTCTCCTAGCGCCCCGGGGCTGGGAATGGCTGAGGGACTACCCACAGCTTGTGGTCGGCCAGAGGGAGGGGAGGAAGGGGGCGGGGCTGAGGGGGGCGGGCCTGGATCTGGGAGTGAAAGCGAAAGCCCAGGCTGCTAGCCGGGAGACCGGAGAGCTACACCTGGAGCAGCATGGCCAAGCCTTGTGGGGTGCGCCTGAGCGGAGAGGCCAGCAAACAGGTGAGGGGGCACCCACCGGAGGCTAGCAAGGGCCCGGGAAGCCCCCCTGGATGGAGGCCGATCTGGGTACTGCGGGGGACCCAGGCCGTGTTCGAACTCCGCCAGCCTCACTTCAGCGCTTTCACTTCTGCCTGGGGATTCCCAGATTCTTGCCCAGTCTCTGCCCTGAGCCGGGGCTTCCAGAGAAATCTGGCTTGTGGGAAAGGCCTGTGCCGTAGTTGGAGGGCGCCCTGCTGGAGGTGGGAGAATAACTCTTTGACAGCCAAGAACCCTTAACCAACGTCCTGGTACTGCTCTCTCTGCAGGTGGATGTCTTCAGGCAGAATCTTTTCCAGGAGGTAAGTATCTGTAGAATCAAGCGATTTGGCCCAGAATCTTAGGCCAGTACTTGAGGATCACAACCACTCAGAGTGACTCCAAAGGGCACCCTGGACTTGGCCCCTACGTCCTTACCATGCTTTCACCCAAAGTGACCTCCTAATTATTGACTTCTCCCTCTATTTTGACCCCTCTCTTCTACCACTTCTCAACCCCCCCCCCCCTTTTTAATTGTTTATTCGAAAGGCAGAGTTGGGGGAGGGGAGATGAGAGGGAGGGGGAGAGAGCACTTCCATCTGCTGCTTCATTCCTCAAATGGCTGCCACAACCAGGGCTGGGCCAGGCTGAAGCCAGGAGCTACGTTTCTTCTGGTTTTCCTATGTTGGTGCAAAGGCCCAAGTATTTGAGCCATCTTCTGCTGCTTTCCCAGGCACATTAGCAGGGAACATGTTAGCTGGGACTCAAACTGGCACCCATATGGGATGCTAGCTTTGCAGGTACCAGCTTAATCTGATGCCAGAACTCTGCCCCTTCCAGCCCTTTTTTGGATGGGGGGAGTAAGTCCACGTCCCCCACGTTCCTAACATTGGTTCTGCTGTCTGTGAACGTGGGCAAGTCCCTTCATTTTCAGGGCCTCACTGACCTCATTTATAAGGTCACGGACTCAGATTTTCAAGGGCCCTTCCAGGTCTAGTCTTCTGACATCTTATTGAGTGTGTTTGCCACAGGCTGAGGAATTCCTCTGCAGTTTCCTGCCACAGAAAATCATATACCTGAATCAACTCTTGCAAGTGAGTAGCCCAGGTCCCTCTTGCCCCGTCCCCTGGCCTTTTCCCCGCCTCTGCTCACCTTGTCCGGCTAACAACCGGGAACCATTTTAAATGGTGGATTGGGAACGTTCAGATGGTGTACGCCTGAGCCTAGGTTGGGAGGCCGAGGGAAAGCTATGACGTGGGGTGAGGGGAAGAGGCTGGGCAGGCCTGACAGTGAGCTCTGTACAGGAGGACTTCCTCAATGTGGCTGACCTGACCTCCCTCCGGGCCCCGCTGGACATCCCCATCCCAGACCCCCCGCCCAAGGAGGATGAGGTGAGGTACTCGTGGTGCAGGGCTCGCACTGTGCCTTCGGTGGACATGATGGCCCGTCAACCTCAGTGACTTTTCTGAAGCTATCCCCCCCCGCCTTGTTTCCCTTAGATGGAAACAGATAAACAGGAGAAGAAGGAAGGTAAGGAAAGGAGGGGTGACGTGGCGAGGGGAAATCACACACTGATGGGGGCGGAGGAGGGACGTGGATTCCTTCTTTCTTCAGTCCCTAAGTGCGGCTTTCTTCCTGGGAATGAGAAGCTCTTAGCTCTGCTCGCTTTGGTTAAGCCGGAAGTCTGGACTCTCAAAGAGAAGTGCATTCTGGTAAGCCTGGGAGCTGGGTGTGGGGAGTAGAAAGAAGACAGCAAGGCCAAGCCCTGGTCTCCTTCAGAGATGCAGGTCCTTCATTCAGAGGTTTAGTCCTGAAAAGGGAGGTTTCCTCCTGGTCTTGGTTTAGGTCCCTGTTGTTCTCATTCTGCTAGGCCTCTGGTATTACAAAGGTATTCCTGAAATCAGAGGCTGTGCATTATCCACTTCTAGAACCATAGAACCTATTGCTGTGCCAGATACGTAGTAGAGATAACACAGTACTTTGGAAACATTTTTTATCGTATGATATATACTGGGGTCATGTATAGCTTAGCAGTTACAACACTGGTTACCTGCATCTCACGTCAGAGTACCTGGGTTCAGGTCCTAGCTCTGGCTGCCATTCCCAGCTTTTTGCTAATGCAGACGATGTTGGCTCAAGTTGTCGGGTTCCTATCACCCATGAGGGAGACCTGGGTTGGCTTCTCAGCTCCCTGCTTTAGCCTGCTCCAGTCCCATCCATTGTAGGCATTTGGGGAGTGAGTCAGCAGGTGGGAGCCCTCTCTGCCTCTTAGATTACACACACACTTTGGAAGGTTTTTGTAACAAGTGAGATAAATCATAGGTAACACAGTGCCTGGCAAATAAGTGCTCGATTCAATATAGCTATTAATGGGGAGTGGCAATAATAGAAAGAGCTCAGTAGGTTTGTTGAGTGATTTCTCCTTTTAACATAGGTGATCACTTGGATCCAGCATCTGATTCCCAAGATTGAGGATGGAAATGATTTTGGGGTAGCGATCCAGGTAAGAAAAGGAAGACAGGACTCTGAGAGCGGGGAGAGCCCTGGGGAGTGAGAGATAGGAGGAGGAAGGAAGTGGTGAGTACAGGAGGAAGGAGATGAAGTGCTGGCTCCCCTCCCCATCTCTTCCTCCCCTCCCCCACCACAGGAGAAGGTGCTGGAGAGGGTGAATGCAGTGAAGACCAAAGTGGAAACCTTCCAGACAACCATTTCCAAGTGAGGGCAGCTGGAAGACCAGCATGGGGGCCTGCCAAAGCTAAGCAGTACCATCAGGATGATGGGCACTTTGGGAACAGTCTCTGGGGGAGTACATCTCCCTGAGCATCTGTGCCTATACTGGTTCCCTTGCTTCTGGCAGGTACTTCTCAGAACGCGGGGATGCTGTGGCCAAGGCCTCCAAGGAGACCCATGTTGTAAGTGGAGAGTCCATCAGCCTTTTAGCTGAGGCTGGCTAGGGATGGGCCGAGGAGGCGGGGAAACAGACCCTCCTTGTGTTGGTTATGACCGTCCCAGTGTGGAGAATATTAAGCCAAAAGTGCTGCCTAGAAAAAACTGCTTTGGACTGCAACAACCTGGACCTTTTTCTCTGCTGGATCCCGTGGGATCTCATTTCTTGGTGCCCAGAAGGAGCTCATCTTCACGTTACCTATTCCCTATATGAGGAAACCAGACTAATGTCCCTCCCATGAAGCTGACCTAGCTTTGCCTCCTACGTCCCAGATGGACTACCGGGCCTTGGTACATGAGCGAGATGAGGCAGCCTATGGGGCGCTAAGGGCCATGGTGCTGGACCTGAGGGCCTTCTATGTGAGTGTGGAGTAAGACCCTGAGAGAAGCGGATGGGGGTTGGCTAGGGGGGAGGGAGGCCAAGAACTTGACTCCTGTTCTGCCTTCTCCCAGGCCGAACTTTATCATATCATCAGCAGCAACCTGGAGAAGATTGTCAACCCAAAGGGTGAAGAGAAGCCATCCATGTACTGAGCCCAGGTCTAGAGGGAAAATAAATGACCTGACCTTTGTGTGGAATTTATCTGGTGTGTGTCTGTCACTCATTCAGAGAGCATTTATTGAGTGTCACCTGTGTTGACACACTAAAGGTGAATGTGGTATGGAGGAGAGGGGTGCCTGGAAGACAAAATAAATTAGATGCCCATCCTGTTCTTAAGAGGCAACTTTAGAGGGGCTGTCGTTGTGGCATAATGAATCAAGTTGCCACCCGTAATGCCAGCATCCTATGCAGGCACCCATTTGAGTCCTGGCTGCTCTAATTCAGATCCAGCTCCCTGCTAATGGCTAGGAAAAGCAGTGGAAGAGGGCCCAAGTCTTTGGGACCCTGTACCCACATAGGAGACTTGGAAGAAACTCCTGGCTTTGGCTTGGCCCAGCCCTCACTGTTGTGGCCAACTGGGGAGTGAACCAGTGAGTGGAAGATCTAGCTCTCTCTCCATAACTCTGCCTTTCAAATAAATAAATCTTAAAAAAGAGGTAACCCTAGAGAACAGGGTGGGAATTGTTACACATCATGACAGTATTTGGGGCTTTCTGGAGATTATACCCCCAGAAGGCTCAGGAGAGCTTCAGGAAGGAGGTGGCAGCTGGGCAAAGTCCTTACAGGGATGAGTAGTTGGGCTTCAGACAGGCAAGGGGAAAGCTCTGTGGCAATGAAGAAAGGAGCAACCCCCGTGTGTTAGCCCCCTTTGCATCACTAGCAAACCTGAGAGGAGCTTCTTTGGGAAAGAAAAGGTTTATTTCATCTTGCAGCTTGGAGGTTACAGTGCAGGGTCAGGTGACCCCATGGTCCAGCATCTGTGCAGGTTGGGAATGGTGGAGTGGGCATGCTGGGAAGATCACAGGGTGAGCCAGGAAGAACAGAAGTAAGCTGAACCTGAACTCTAAACAGCCAATTCTCCTGAAAATCAGCACTCCCCCCTCCCCCCTTCTAGCTGCCACAATTAGATCAAATCCCCACCCTTAGCCCACCAACGGTCGACATTAAGACATCAGAGTGTACAGCTGCTTGAGTTTCAGGGCGACAAATTCTGCCCTTACTAATATGGAGTAAGCCCGAAGGAGAAAGGGCTTTCGTCGGAGGTTTTGTGGGTGAGTGGCTGGACCCCTTTTCCAGGGCTGGGAGAGGAAAAAGCTGTGGTGGTAAAGGAGAGACCCATGCAACGTTATGGGAGGGGAGGATCTGCAAGTTTGTCTTTTCCTTCTGCCCACCTCCCTCCTCCCATTCAGTCATCATCCCTGGCTTTCAGGATGCAGCCCGTGGCGGTGGTAGAGACAGGGGCTTCTCTACTGTGGTTTCTGGTGCAACATCCATAGGGTTATCTTCTTACTAAATATGGGATGGGACTGTGCTGCATGGCGCTTGACAGTTTGCGTGCCCGTCCCCTATGTATCTCACTGAATCCTTAAAGGAAGCATGGGCAGCAGATGTTACATTCAGGAAATCAAGTCAGGTAACCTGCAGGCGCGAAGGCAACATAAGGAAGTGACAGAGCTGGTCGTCCCATAATCAGAGCAGGCGGTCAGCTTTGTCCCCTACTGCTGTGGGACCCCTGCCTTGGGCCGAGAGTCCCACCCAGACAATTCTGCCGGGCGGGGGGGGGGGGACCTAGGGGTGCGGGCAGCCCAGGTAACAAGCAAAGCCAATCTGCAACCCAGAGCGGAAGGTGGGTAGCCTAGCCAATAAGCGCGCCCGCACTTTGCTGCTCTTTACAGCTAGCTGAGGGTTCTTTCCAGTTCGCCAGAGACAAAGGCGGTCAAGGTTTGGGCGCGGCCTCTGATTGGACAAAGTGACCTATCAGCGCGCTCTAGGCCTATCGAAGCGCACCACGTGGGCGGGACTCTAGGAGCCGGTTGTCAAGCGGCGGCGGGCTCCCGGGTCCTCACTCCAGGCACTGATCTACGGCCGCCCGCTAGGGGGAGGCGGAGTTCGGGGCCGCGGGATGCGCTCGGTACCTCCTTCTGGGCCGGGCCGGGGGCGGGCTCCGGGACGGAGGCCGGAGGGCCGCCCTCGAGACGAGTTGGCTTTACAGTCGAAGCTAAGTGAGGGAACCCGGGGAGAGGCCGAGGCGGGCGCCGGAGAGCTGGAGGGAGCCAGAGGCTGCCTCTTCCGGGCAGGGCAGGGACCCGGTCCTCATCGGGCTCGCAGCTCCCGGGGCAGGCCCGGCTCGCCATGGGGGAGGTGGAGATCTCGGCCCGGGCCTATGTGAAGATGTGCCTGCACGCCGCGCGGTACCCGCACGCCGCCGTCAACGGGCTGCTGCTGGCGCCCTCGCCGAGCGCCGGAGAATGCCTGTGCCTCACCGACTGTGTGCCCCTCTTCCACAGCCACCTGGCCCTGGCCGTCATGCTGGAGGTCGCCCTCAACCAGGTGCGGCCGCTGGACGTCCGCCCCCCACCGCGAAGCCCGCAGCTCCCTGGGCAGCGGTGCGCACCCACAGGGCCAGCGGCGCTGTGTAGTTAACTGACGGCCCCTTTCCCGCGACAGGTGGATGTGTGGGGCGCCCGGGCCGGTCTGGTGGTGGCTGGGTACTACCATGCCAATGCAGCTCTGGACGACCAGAGGTGAGTGGGGTGAGCAGAGGCAGAAGGCAAGGGATTATGGCGAGGGGGAGGGGGTGGGGTCGCCAAAGAACCAAGGTCATTCCTTCCATCTTCCCTTCATCAAAGGCTTGGGAGCAGGGGCTGTGACCAGGCGCTGTGCTGGGCACTGGAGTGAGGAAATAGAAAGGTGACTAGGACACAGCCTTGCCTTGGAAGAGCTGCCGTGGGGGTGGAGACAGCTGTGTATCAACAAGAACAGGATGATCTTGCTGTACTGAGGTGCCCCAAGTTTGGAAAGAACACAGAGCAAGCCCAACCAGCAACTTAAGAAATTTCTTTTATATATACACATATAAAGTAGATATTAATCTTATGAGGGCATGTCAAAAAGTTCATGGGAAATGGAATTAAAAGCTAAGTTTATTATGGTGCAAAAAAATTCAAATTCATGAGGCAGGTGTTGTGGCATAGCAGGTAAAGCTGCCGCCTGTGACACTGCTATCCCATATGGACGCTGGTTCAACTCCCAGCTGCTCCTCTAATGATCCAGCTCCCTGCTACTGTGCCTAGGAGAACAGGGGAAGATAGCTCAAGTTCTTGGGCCCCTGCACCGACATGGGAGATCTGGAAGAAGTTCTGGGCTCCTGGCTTCAGCCTGGTCCAGCCCTGGCCGTTGTGGCCACTGGGAAGTGAACCAGTGGATGGATGATCTATCTTTTCTTCTCTTTGTGTAACTTTGACTTTCAAATAAGTAAATAAAATATTTTTTAAAAATTGAAATGTATGCCTAGTTTTATCATAATATGGTTTTCCATGAACTTTTTGAAGACTCTACTTACGCATGAGTCTCAAAAATTATTTTACACCAAAATAAGCTCATCTTTTGATTCCATTTTCCATGAACTTTTTGAAGTGCCCTCATGGGTCAGATTAGATATACTATTTTGTGAATGCTTTTCTCCCCTTCTCTAAAATTTGTCATCTTCCCGTTGCCACACCAAGATCTCCCTTCTCCTCACAGAGATATAGTGTGAGTGTGGATGTGCCACTGTCTATCTAGTGCCTTGTTAAAAGTTGAAATTTCTCGGCGCTGGCACCCCGGGTTCTAGTCCCAGTCGGGGCGCTGGATTCTGTCCTGGTTGCCCCTCTTCCAGGCCAGCTCTCTGCTGTAGCCCAGGAGTGTAGTGGAGGATGGCCCAAGTGCTTGGGCCCTGCACCCGCATGGGAGACCAGGAGAAGCACCTGGCTCCTGCCTTTGAATCAGCGCAGTGCGCTGGCCGCAGCGGCCAATTGGGGGGGTGAACCAATGGAAAAGGAAGACCTTTCTCTCTCTCTCTCTCTCTCACTGTCCACCCTGCCTGTCAAAAAAAAAAAAAGTTGAAATTTCTAATTTTTTTATTATGGACACTGCGCTATTATTAAATTCAGTAGAACATCCAGGTCAGCCTATGTAGGAGATGGCTTTACTTTGGCTGGTTCCGTCAAATTACCCTCCAAAAAGACCGCCTTTGACATACACTCTCACCAGCAGTGTCTGAGCACCTGTTTCCCACAGCACTCAAGCATGAAGCAGTCGTGCATCAAGCATCCAGCAGGCTCAACCCCCACCAGCCAGCTACAGGGAAAGGCCAGAACCACGCCCACATCCATGAGACCCGGGAAGCCCAGCTCAGCCGGATGGGGTCTGCCCGCAAGCGGCTCCTCACCCCTCTGATCTTCCCTCTACACAGCCCTGGGCCCCTGGCCTTGAAAATCGCCGGGCGGATTGCAGAATTGTTCCCTGCAGCAGTCCTTGTTATGGTGAGGCTTCGCTTTCAGGGTGGGGAGGTAGACAGGAAGTCGGGAGGGGGGAAGCATCGAAACCCCCCCTGCCTTTCGTTGTCCATCCAGTTGGATAATCAGAAACTGGTGCCTCAGCCTCGCGTGCCCCCAGTCATCGTCCTGGAGAACCAGGGTCTCCGCTGGGTGCCCAAGGACAAGAACTTGTGAGTGTCCCACTTCTACTTCTTGGAAGCCCAAGGCTCCCCAGGCCTCCTCTTTCCTTGGTCCTGCCCCAAGGGTCCCTTCCTGGACCCAGCGTCTGTGTGAAGGCTGTGTCTGGCCCCGCTGCCCGCCAGGTTTGACCTCCGTGGATGTTGCTATTTCAGAGTGATGTGGAGGGACTGGGAAGAGTCCCGGCAGATGCTGGGAGCCCTCCTGCAGGGCCGAGCCCATCAGCACCTCGTGGACTTTGACTGCCACCTGGATGACATCCGCCAGGACTGGACCAACCAGCAGCTCAACACCCAGATCACACAGTGGGTTGGTGCCACCAGTGGAAATGCCTGAGCCAGGGCCGGGGCCAGGAGGGGCAGGAGCCAAATAAAGAGACTTGGGCCGCTGGGCAACAGTTTTGACTATATTTATTGTGCCTAGGAGGCCAGGTGAGGGAGAAATCTCAACAGCAGGAAGGTAAGAAAGGCCTGGAGTCCCCAGCAAAAAGCAGGACGGTCTGGGCCACCCGCATCACAGAACGGGAGAGGCGGCTCTCAATAGATCATTCCCTTTGTTTCTCCCCTGGGCTTCTTGAGCTTCTCGAAGTTCTTCAGGATGATGTCATACAACACAGCCTACAGGGCCGGGGGAGTAGGGGGTCAGCTGCAGGCCCCTGGCGGCCTTGTGCCCATTTCTAGCTCGGTGGAGAGGCCGGGCTTTGTCATCCTCCACCCCAAGCCTGCAAGGTCCAGGAGTGAGTGGGTGCCCTGGGAAAAGAACCTCTGCCTGCCCCTGCCCCGCCCTGCCCTTGGCCCCTCACATAAGCGTTGCGGATCTCCATGACCATCAGCCGGATGTCCCGGTACTCTGCCTCGTCCAGCTCGTGCACCAGCTGCCTGTAGTCACCCTGTGGAAACCCAGCAGTCAGGCCGGATGCCCAGCGCGTCCCTTCCCACGCACCCTGACCAGGGCCGCACCTACCACATGGGGCTGCTTGGCTGCTTTGGCCACCGCATCTCCGCGTTCCAAGAAATACCTGTGGGAATTAGAAGTGTGCGTGGAGTGGGACAAGACGGAGGGCACTCATAGGCCCATGTCCCAAAGCAGAGGGTTTGGGTGTGGGCGGGCGGCCACTCACTTGGATATCTGCGTGTGGAAGCCTTCCAGCTTGGTGTGAAGGCTGGTCATCAGCTCAAACACCTTCTCCTGGGGACGGCAAGTGAGGGCCAAAGTGGAAGGAAGCCGGGACTAGAGATGAGGGCAGGGCAGCAGGGCAGTGCTCTCACCTGGACAGCCACTCCGAAATTGTTGCCGTCCTCAATCCGGGGAATCTGCAGCTGCAACCAGGTGGTGACCTGGGGGAAGGGAAGCGCATCAAAGCCACATCCGGCCCCCCACCCCCACCTGGCCTCCTTGGCCTTGCTTGCTGCCCATGCTGGGTGGAGGTAGGCCAGGTCTATCCTAAGCCTCATGGGCCTAGGCTGCTGACTTCACCGGCTGTGCCCTCCCTTTCCTGCTAAGACCAGGCAAGCGGCATAACCTAACTGGCAGAACCAAGAGGACAAAGGGGTCGACCTGAAGCCAGGGGCGGAAGGAGCAGGGCTCACCAGATTCAGCTTCTCGATGACGTCCTTTATCTCGGGCTTTAGGCGCTGCAGAAGGCCTACAATCTTCTCATTGCAGTTCACTGGGCCACAGGGAGGACCTGGTGAGTGGGCGGTGGGTTACTCACTGCACTGAGCCTGTGCCTGACAGGAGAGCCCCTGCAGGGTGGTGGCCAAGTCCCTGCCCACCAGAGATTTCTTTTTTGTTCAAATACCTTTATCTTCATCATCCTCTTTCTTTTTTTCGTCTTTGTCTTCCTTCTGCAGGGAGAGAGGGGTCCCTGGGAGTCAGACCGCAGGAAGGCAGGTTTTCCCTGCCTGGTTGGGCCCCTCCCCCCCCCCCCGGGGGGGGTTCCCAGCTTGCCCCCTGCTGTTTCTTTCGCTCCTCCTTCTCTTTCTCCTTGGCCGGGTCAGGCATGGGGATGTCCAGGGGGGCCTTCAGGTTGCTCAGGTTGACTTCATTGAGAGCCGGCTCCTGGCAGAGGGTAGGAGGAGAGCTAGAGGCAAGGTGTGTGTGTCTCTCTCGCCTCCTCACTCTCAGGGCCTCGCCCTGACTCCCGTCCTCTGGGCCCCTTAACTCTCCAGCTCCCTGGCCAGCCCCAGTACCTTTAAAAACGCATCCAACTCAGAAATCTTCTTGGGGAAATAGTTCCCAAGCAGGCTCTCGGTCTGTGTGTGAGGTGGGGGTGGCGGAGGGTGGGGGTGAGACTCCGAGTGGTCCCGGTTGGGTCGGAGCTGGGGTGTGGCGGGACGGATCTTACCTTGGCACGCAGGTCTTCACGAAACGCATCCACCTGTGGGGCACAGGCAACCGTTCAGAAACCTGGCTTTAAGGCCGGTTTATTGGAAGGGAGTTCCTCTAGGGTTGTGGCAGGTCTGACCTGGGGAAGGGTGGGGTGTGCTCTCTGAGGCCAGATGGACCCCTGTGCCCGTGGACTGGGACTAAAGGGGTGGACCTCTGCAGTCCCGGGCCCCCTGGGGTTGCATCTGGGGATTGAGAGCACTCCTGGTGGGAAGGGTCTCCAGGGTCTCCTGGGCTATGCTGTGCATGTGAGGAGGGGAGTAGGGCAGCCTCAGCCAGTGGGACCCAGCAGGCACTGAGAAGCCAGGGGCAGGTCCCGCACCAGCCTGTGCCCCCCGCTCCGCGCACGCACTGAGGAGCCAGGGGCAGGTCCCGCACCAGTCTGTGCCGCCCCCCCCCAAGCCCCGCGCAGGCACTGAGGAGCCAGGGGCAGGTCCTGCACCAGTCTGTGTGGGGCCCCCGCCGGCAGGCTTCCCCTCTCCGGCTCTCTGCTTCACTTCACCTCGCTGGACCAAGGCCGCCTCGCCTCTCCCCGAAGGCAGACCTCACCGGTCTCCCCGGGGCTCAGGTGCTGGGAGCACCGAGGCGGCAGGCATGACCGACCCCTACTCAAGTGGGGGCTGGGGGAGGGGGCGGGTCGGGGGCTCCCTCGCCTCTAGGAACCACGTCTCCCTCTAATCGGCCCTTCCTCGACCCCGAGGCGCTCACCTTGGCTTGGGCTTCAGGCTGGACCCTGAGCGTGGCCATGGCAGGGCCGGGGGGGACCTGCTGCCGCACGAGGAGCGAGGAGGAGTGGGCACCGGGAAGAGAAAGCGAAAGCGGCGCTCGCCACCGGCACGGCCTTCCTGGGTAGTAGGGAGTGGAGGGACTGGAGGAGGCGGGGACAGACCAGACCGGGGAGACGGCCGCAGAGGCGGGCAGCCCCGCGGGGCTCCCCCTACAGCTCCCTGTGCCCGCCTGTCCACGCCCCACCTTGCCCCTCCCGCCCCCCTTGTCCCCGCCTCTCCCCCCCACCCCCAACTCCTCCATTGGCCTCTCTTCCGCTGCTGCGCCTGGCACAGGGATGCGCCTTACTCCGTGGGACGAGACCTGGCTGGCCGCTCCTTGCTAGCCTTCCCAGCCAGCGTGGGCACCTGCTCTCGCCGGCATCCTGTGGCCCGACACCCGGACGCTGCTGCTACCCTTCACCCGAGCTGCAGTCCGCTAGGCTTGGCTGCTGCTGCGCGTTCGCCTCTGACCGCCGCAGCTTCCTGTAGACCTCCCACCTGCTCCTCTCCAGTCACCTGCCTTCCTGCCCCCTGGCCATTCCTCCTGAAGGGCCCTTCCCACGGCTCTGGTCATTCAGCTCTCAGTTCAAATGTCACCTCCTCAGAATTAAGATTTAAAAAAAAAATGTATTTATTATATTAGAAAGGCAGAGTAACAAAAAAATGAGAGAGAGAATCTTCTGTCCCCAAATGCCCACAACGGCTGGGGGTGGGCCAAGAGGAAGCCAGGAGCCAGGAGCTTCTTCCGAGTCTCCTACGTGGGTGCAGGGGCCCAAGCACTTGGGCCATCTTCTACTGCTTTCCCAGGTGCATTAGCAGGGAGCGGGATCAGAAGTGGAGCAACCGGGACTCAAACCAGCATCCCTGTGGGATGCCAGCATCACAGACCGCAGCCTAACCGGCTGTGCCACCTCCAGGTGGCCAAATCAGCCTGCTTGAGTACCTTCACAGCATTTCTCTCTCTGATATTAGCTCAGTGTTTTGTTTCAGGATTCCACAAGCTTTTTCTGCCAAGGGTTAGATAATATATATTTTAGGCTCTGTGGGCCTTACAGTGTTGGTAACAACTACTCAACTGTGCCATGGCAACAAGAAAGCAGTCATATGTCCATGAATTAGTGCGGCTGGTTCCCGTGAAGCTTATTTATGGACACAGAAACTTGAGTCCATGTAATTTTCGTGTGTCATGAAATATGATGGTGCTTCAAAAGGTTTGTGGGAAGATGGAATAAAAAAATGTTTCTTTTGGTGCAGAAACCTTTGAAATCCATTAAAGTTTTTCACAGTGTGCTGATTCCCCGTGACGTTTTTGATAACCCCTGTCTGTGTAGATTAAAAAAAGTTGCACCAAAGTAAATATATTTTAATTCCATTTTCCTATGAACCCTTTGAACTACCCTCATACCATATTGTATTATTCTTTGATGTTTTCAGCATAAAAATGGAAAAACCGTTCTTAGCTCACAGGCCATACAAAAACTGGCCACAGGAGGGCAGTGTTTTGCCCATTCCTGGTTTAGACCTAGAGCACCCAGACTGCCTCGGTTTGTAACCCTGCCTCCTCTATGTGGTGTTAGCTTTGAACAGATTAACCTGGGTGCCTCACTTTTCATGCCTGCACAATGGAGACACTCATAGCGGGGCTGACAAGAGGACTAAATGTCTTAATTTATATAAAGAATTTATAGACGCTCAGAACAGTGCCTTGGCACAGAGCGAAAGTGCAGTTGCTTGCTGTTATTATCTGTGCGTCTGACACCTGCATAGACCCCCAAACAGCAGGAACCTCGTCTCTCTTATCCACATGGCAGGGAACTGTGCTTGCCTCGATAAACATTTGTTAAATACATGAGGGCACACACACCCCCACCACGGGGCAGACAGGGTAGAAAGGGGTCCCAGGATGGAGTGGCCAGACAGGCAGGCCCTGAGGAGGGCACAGAGGTGCTTTGGTGAGGGGGCAGGAAAAGCAAAGCAGCCAGGCTGTCCTCAGCAGGAACAGACACTGTGAATGCCTCTCCAGCCAGCTCTGGCTTTTCTCACCATCACGGCCCCAGATAGCTCATGGTTGGCAAAGACTGGGAGGCTGGAAGGAGGGATGGAGGTCAAGTACAAGGAAGGTCATTCGAGGTCAGTCACAGCAAGGACCGGCTACGGAATCCCAGCAACTGCGGGGGCGTCTGCTCTTCCCTTCCTACCCTTTGCAGGCCCCAACCAAATAATGAGAGGAGGCAGGGGCAGGCCCGGGGTGACTTTATTTCCGTCAGTTATGCTTGCGGCTGGCGTGGGGGCGGGGGAAGAGGCCATGGCCCGGGCTCCCCGGAGACCAGGGTTGATGATACCAGCTGCCGTAGGTGAGGTACCAGGCGAAGGTGCCCACGGCGGCGCCCACCACCTTGTGCGTGTACTGGTGGAAGTAGATGACGGTGCAGAGCAGCAGGAAGTTCCAGAGCCCCAGCAGCAGCACGTTGAGCAAGAAGACGAGGCGCAGGGGCGCTCCCGCAGGCAGCCCGTGGGCCAGGTACTTGGCAAACACCGCAGCTTCCTCGGCCATGAGCAGGCAGCAGAAGGTGAGCAGGAAGGTGTGAGAGGAGACCGTGTAGCCCCGCCACTGGTGGCCAGCTGCCAGGCAGCTGCGGCGGTCGGGCAGCTCGTGGAGCAGCAGGCCCTGGGGCAGAGGCTCAAAGCAGGACCCTGTCAGGTCCTCGATGAGCAGGAAGGCCCGGCCAGCCCCCCGCCACACGGCTGCGCCCACCACCAGCCGGCTCAGGTGTCTGGCGGTCACGGCCACGCGCCGAGTGGCCAGGAACACCACCAGCAACACGAAGCCTCCCAGGAAGGTGCATGTCCAGCCCCACGCCGAATTCACAAACTTTCTGTGGGCAGAGAGAAGAGGGGAGGGCTCTGAGAAACCACAGCGCCATCTGCCAGTGGGGGCTGGGTTCCCAGCGCTAGCCTGACCCACGTCCCACTCATCTCCGGTTCTCTCCTTCCAGTGCCCTTGACCATCCCCAGCTGTTTCAACTTGGCCATGCACCGCCAGGACCACCAGGCTCCTCTTCAGCCCTGCTCCAGACTTGCCCTTACCCCAGGGGCACGCCGCTCCCCTCCTCCTCCCCCTCCCCCCACCTTCTCCCTCAACCTCCTGGTCTATTTTTAGCGCTCAGACTGGCAGGAGAACAGAAGCCTGGAGAAAGGACCTAGGATCCCGGAGGGCAGGGATCTCCATGCAGCAAACTCACATGTTGAAGAAGTTGCCGTGGCTGGCGAAGATAGTCCGAGGGTTGACGTGGAACTGCAGAAGGGGCCCGAAGATGACCACTGCTGCCAACCAGGCATGGTAGAGGCGCCGTAAGCAGGGGCTGCCCAGGAGGCGGGCGGCTTGTTCACTCCCGAAATACAGCAAGGCAGAAGCTACCCAGAGTAGCACCCTCACCAGGCAGGCCAGCACTGCCCGGACTCGGGTCCCGGCACCCAGCCCTGCCCCCACTGCCGGCCCCCGTTCCATGTTCCCTCCCCTCCCCACTAACTGCTCGATCTGCTGGGCAGCTGAGGAGGGGCTGATGACCCCCCCCGGGGGGGGACAAGGACAGGCAGTGACAGGTGTGGCAGACACAGGGCAGAGCCCTGCTGGCAGCTGGCGGGCGGGAGAGAGGGGTGAGGAGTGGTAAGGGACTGGGGTGGAGGGCTGTGACAGCAGCAGGGGCCTGGCCTCTGGTGTGTGGTGGCATGTCCTGACAGCAGCCTGTGTCCCTTCCTGTTAGCCCTATGTCCTCACGGCAACCATGTTCCAGTTCATGTCTCAGGGCCAGGCCTGCTGTTCTGGGCCTCTGCTTGTCCACCAGCCTGCTTGGCTCTGTCTTCGGTCAGCCAAATGTCCCTCTCCTCACTCCAAATATGCTATGCATTTGCTCCACAGGGAAATTAGAAGTCACAAAGACAAAACCAACCAAACATTAGAAGTCATTAAAAAAAAAAAAAAGATCTGTCTTGTCATCAGTGCAGTCTGGTTCTTCAGCTGGGGTGCTGAGCCAAGGGCCCACACTGCAGGATTCAGAAGGCACTAAGTGGCACTGCTGGTTTGTGTACTGATTACGATGGTCAGTACATGAAACGCAGGTGTCCTCAGGAGGGCATCCTGAGATGGTAGAGGCACAGGCTGAGCCTCCAGGGCCCGATGACCAGGTTTGCTCCCTGGTGACAGGGGCTGCAGATGCTAGAAGGAAAATTCCATCTGGAGTCCATCAAAAGCTTAGGCATTGGGGCTGGTGCTGTAGCGCAGGTTAATCCTCTGCCTGTGATGCGGGCATCCCATATGGGTGCTGGTTCTAGTCCTGGCTGCTCCTCTTCCGATCCAGCTCTCTGCTATGGCCTGGGAAAGCAGTGGAGGATGGCCCAAGTGCTTGGGCCCCTGCACCCATGTGGGAGACTCGGAAGAAGCTCTTGGCTCCTGGCTTTGGATCAGCTCAGCTCTGGCCATTATAGCCATTTGGGGAGTGAACCAGCAGATGGAAGACCTTTCTGTCTGTAACACTACTTCTCAAATAAATAAATAATATATTTTAAAAAAAGCTTAGGTTTGTCTTCTAACCAGTGACTCCAGGCCACAGGGTAGCCCCATACAAGCCTTGGCCTCCCAGCCTGACTGCCTGGGCTGAAGCAGCAGGGTGGAGAGCGATGGACCTAGGGAGAAGTCCCTGTTAGTCAGTAACTATTTCCAGATCACTTTTTGGTTTCCTTCCTTGTTCCTGAAAACCAGAGGTGGGATTTCAGAGCCCAGTGGAGGCCCAGGAAGTAGTGAAAGGAATGAGCAAGGAAGGGCATCAGGTCCTGGGCCCAACAATGCGACTGCGGGAAGATCAATCAACCTTCCTCGTCCTCAGCGCCCTGGACACTGACTAATCAGCCGGGCTCCTTCTAGATCCTAAAGCGCTCACGTGGCATAGTGGCCTCCAGTCCTCCCGCTCAGGGACCCTGTAAAAGAATTTTGAGACTCCCAGGTCCCCTTCACACATTTTTAATGTGAAAATTTTGATCATAATTTTAGATGGTTGTGGACATAATTTCAGTGTATTATATACACTGACATTTCAAAATAAAGTTATTACATTACTTTTAAAAAAGGATTTATTTACTTGGAATGCAGCGACAGGGAGGAGGAGAGACAGAGAGCGAGTGAGCCAGCGAGCAAGAGTGCTTCTGTCTCCTGGTTCATTCTCCAAATGCCCACAAAAGCCAGGCTAGGCCAGGCCAGGCTGAAGCCAGCAGCAAGAAGTCTCTTACCTGGGTGGCAGGAACTCAAACACCTGAACCCACCACCTGTTGTCTCCCAGGGTGCCCATTTGCCGGCAAATGGGCACGAAACAGAATGGCAGGGATTCCAAGCAGACATTCTGATTTGGGATGCTGGTGTCTCAAACGGTGGTTTAACGCACTGTGCCACAATGCCTGCTCCCTATATCATTCTTCCAAATGTATCCAGTGGAATCGAAGTACAACAGTGATCAGATATGTCATCGTTACCCATGTTTAAAGCATGTGACGTGATCTGAAGCCAAAGTCACATTTCCCCTACAGAATTTATCGTTTTTATGCTTGAAAGTCCTTTATTGATCTCCTACCACACTATGGGAAAAAAAAGTATACAATTTCAAATTTATTTTTCAGAAGACTAATTTGCTTGTAAGACAGAGTAACAGAGGGGAGAGAGAGACTCTTATCCACTGGCTCACTCCACAAATGCCTCAAATAGGCAGGACTGGGCCAGGCTGAAGCCATGAGCCAGGAATTCCATCTGGGTCTCCCATGTGGGTAGCAGAAACCCAAATACTTGAGCCATCCTCTGCTGCCTTCTAGGCACATTAGCAGGGAGTTGGATCAAACATGGAGGAGCCAGGACTTGAACTCATACTCTGCTATCGGATGCAGGTGTCCCAAGTAGTGGCTCAATCCATTGGCTACATGCCTGAACCCAGTTTTTTTTTTTTTTTTAATTTTTTAAGATTTACTTACATGAAAGGCAGAAGGACAGAGAGACAGACACAAAGATACCTTCCATCCACTAATCCTCAAATGGTTGCAATAGCCAGGTCTGTGTCCAGGCCAAAGCCAGGAGGAGCCCAGAACTCCATCTGGGTCTCCCATATGGGTGGTATGGGCCCAAGGACTTGGGCCATCTTCTGCTGCTTTCCCAGATGCACTAGCAGGAAGCTGTATTGGAACTGGAGCAGCTGGGATATGAGCTAGAGCTCTGATATGGGATGCCAGCATTGCAAGCAGCAGCTTAACACTACACCAGAGGCAACCCTCCAAACTTTTTTTTTTTAAGTATTTTTATTATTTTTTAATTTGAAAGGTAGAGAAACACACACAGAGAAGGGAGACATCTTCCTTCTCCGGTTTGCTCCCAAATGCCTGCAACAGCTGGGGCTGGGCCAAGCTGAGGCCAGGAGCTTAATCTCTCTCTCACATGGGTGGCCAAGTACTTGCAAAAATTTTTGTTTTAAGGATTTATTTATTTGAGATGCAGTTACAGACAGGGAGAGACAAAGGTCTTCCATCCGCTGGTTCACTCCCCAAATGGCCATAACGGCCAAAGCTGGGCTGATCCGAAGCCAGGAGCCTGGATCTTCTTCTGGGTCTCCCACATGGGTGCAGGGGTCCAAACACATGGGCCATTTTCCACTGCTTTCCCAGACCATCAGCAGAGAGCTGGATCAGAAGAGCAGCCAGGACACAAACCAGTGCCCAACTGGGATGCCAGCACTGTAGGTAGAGACAGCCCACTATGCCACAGTGCCGGCCCGCCAGAACACTTTTTAAAATTAAATTTTGGGGGCAGGCACCTGGTATAGTGGTTCCAGAACACCTTGGATGCCTGCATCTCATGTTGGAATACCTGGGCATGAGTCCTGCCTCCATTTTTTTTTTCTTAGCAGTTTGAGGTTTATGAAAGATTGAGAAAACACAGAGCTCCCACACCTGGCATCCAGTGCCTATATTCACAACTTGTGCTGTGTGACCACCCTGCTGGCCACACGTCACTGACCAAAGTCCTGGCCTACCCCAGGGCTCATTCTTGGTGGCATGTGGTGACCTGTGTCTGCCCCAGGAGTTCCCTGTGCTTTCATCCCCCTGCCTCCACTTCTGATCCAGCTCCCTGCTAATGTGCACTATAAGAGGCAGCCAGTGATGGCTCAAGTACTTGGGTCCCTGGCATTCATGTAGGAGACCAAGATTGAGTTTGTGGCTCCTGGCTTCAGCCTGGCCCAGCCTTTGGCTGTTGTGAGCATTTACGGGTAAAACAGTAAATGAAACCTGTCTCTTTGGCATCCTGGATATAACATAGTTCTGGGTGCCCTGAGGTGGCATCTCTGGGTGAGGTGGCAGAGGGGACTCTAAGAGCAGTAGGAAGGATGATCTGGCATGCCTGCTTCACACTTGGCGGATGAACCCAAGAACAGGTGGCAGCTGGACACCTTCTTCAAAACTTCAACGTCACTGTGGAGTAGGGACCCTTTTACGCCTTGCTGGGAGTTTTGGGGAAACTTAGGGAAGGCGAAGTGCCTTGGGGAAAGACCCAGTGAGAGTAGGAGCTGAACCGCACCTCTCCCTGACCATCAGTCACTCTGGTGCCCGAGGAATCGTGTGCAAAGTGCGGGCTGGCCACTCTCCGGCTCAGCATCCGTGCGCCATCTCTGGAGCGGAGCTGAGGTCAGCGTCCCGAGGCTCCGCAGCGAACGTGAGCGGGCCCTGCCATCCCCAGGTCCACTCGCTGGCAACTTTCTGAGGCTGGTGAGAGAGCCTCCGTGGCGAGGCTTGGTAGTGACTGATCTGGGTTACTTCCCCTCACCCTGGGGAGTCCCGGGGTGTTTTTCTGCTAGGGAAGCATTCTTGAAGGCTTTGCTGAAACTCTTTTCTTGAAAGGAGAAGATGAAAGAGCTCAGCAGAAGAGGCAGAGACAGACACAGCCAGGTTCCCACAGGGAGTTTATTGAAGGAGCCACAGCCAGTGAGAGGACAAGGTAGTCCCACTGCAACCTTCTTCCTTGGAGCTCTTGGCCCCCCGGTTTGATGGCAGCCTTTGGGAAGGCACGGCTGCTCGGCGTGGGGCCACAGGGAGCTGAGAGGACCCACTCCCCGCTCCAGGGGCTGCTGAGGAAACAGCCTGATTTCCCCACCCACCCCCAGAGACTGCCAGAAGAAAGGCCAGGACACCTGGCCCTCTGAATGGCCAGTCAATCCTCAGTGTGAAGACCAGGACAACGGGCCTGGCCCAGGTGTCTACTCTAAGAGCACAAAGCTAACATCCAAACATGATTAAAAACACTCAAGACTGTTCTCTTGCTGCCAGAGGCCACAGCCCAGATAACAGCGGTCCTGCCTGGCTCTGGCCAGAGATAAGGACCCAAGCCGCCTGGGTGTAAGTGAATGAGGAGACCATACAGCCCCCGGGGAGGCTCCTCCAGGGCCTGGCTGGGGCCCAGAGCATGGGTTTCTCTCCTCTTCACCCAAAGCCAGTGACTCCTCCAAACATTCCCTAGAAGGGAAAAAGGGAGGAAGAGGCGGCAGAGAGCTTGTCCAGAGGTTCACCCTGCACAGGTCTGAAGGTCAGATCTACTGGGGTGAGGAAAAGGTCGTGGAGGGGCGGGCCCCGGGGGCGGGGGTGCCGGGGCACTCGTCGGCCTCTGGCATGTCATCCTGGAAGTACTCAGCCTGGACGTACTGCCACACACGCAGGTTCCCATCCCACTGCAGGGCAGAAATGGCCAGCAGTCAGAAGGTGCGATCCTCAGCAAGGCCCTAGCCCCAGCACGCGCCAGTCCCAGCCCACGCAGCCTCACCGAACTGCTGACAATCTTCTCTTCAAAGGGGTGCCAACTGACGTCACGTACACAGGCCTTGTGGTTGGTCAGCTTCTTCACGATGTGGCCGCTGAGAAGGTCATACACTGTCCGGGGAAGCTCACAGTGGAGAGACCGCCACAGGACCTTCAAAACACCCCCTTGGCTCCCCTGGGTGGCGCCACCAACCTGCCTCCCAGGTATTCTCACTGTCCCGCGGGAGCACAGCGCATCCCAGAGGACTGGGCTGTCTCTGTTCCTTTCCCTACGCTGGGCTGAAGGTATGCTCTAGTGCAGCGTGGCTTTCTCTGGGCCTCGGCTAAATGTCACAGGGCCTACAGTCAAGAAAATGCCGCGCCTTTCGAATGTTCTGCGAGGGACGGAGGGCACGTGCATCAACAGCATGCTGCCTGCAGGCATGTGCACCTCGTGTTCCTTGTGTGGGTGCATCTTTCTCTCTTCTGTAGGAGTCGCTAGCCGAGTGCCCGCCCAGGGACAGCACGGCTGTC